CTTTTCCAGGTTGTAGGAAATGGAACACACAGTTTTTGCAGCAACATACTCCTAGACTGATAGGTACAGTGGATGAGAAAGAGTCAGGGACAGAGAGAGAGAGAGCGAGAGAGAGAGAAGTGGGTGCTGGGTTGTTGGGGGAGATGGACAGAGTGCCATGCAGTGCTGGGCAGTGGAAGAGACAGATGATTTCTGGAGGGGAGACAAAGACAGGGAAAAAAAGATTAAGAAGAAGGAATGAGATTAAAGCATTGGAAAAGAAAGGGGAGGGATGGGGGAAAAATATACTGGGCACAAGAAGATTAAGAGTGAGGAAAACAGACACTGAAATAGACAATTGAAAAAGATACACTGGCACAGGTAAAAACATTATGGAGACAAAGTGAAAGGAGACATAGTCCAGTCATTTTTTATTATTATTTTAACAGAAAATATAATCACAAAAGGTTAACATTTGTGATTGGTGATCTGTCCACCTTCTACTGAGAGGGCAATGAGTTTCAGTGAAATTCAGTGAAATTTAAGCCCTAAACTCCTTAGAGGGGGAGACATTTCCGTTTGTGAAATACAAAAGAAAAAAAAAACAATTAAACAAAGTGAACAAAGAGGGGATTGTGTCCTAGAGTAGGCTTTAAAGAAAGATAGGTGCCCATCTGTGCCTGGCTTCTTCCCAGATTAATGGAATTCTGAGGCTTGTGTTCCGGGGCAAAGTTGTAAGTTTGCAACCAAGGAAGTGATATAAAGGCAATACATTTTTTTCAAGTGAGAAGCAAGTGCTGGGAAGGTTGCGGTGACCAGGGTCTGAGCAAAGACCTCAGTGAAGGTCCCACCTCTGACGTGCTAGGAAAGGAGTCTGGGATAGTGTGAGCTGAAAAAGCTTGAGGAAGGGCTGAGGTGGAACCTTAAGAGGCAAGCAAATATAGTCAGTGGGAAGAATGAAATGAATGTTCGCATGCAAAGGATATAAACCTTCATGCTTTATGGAGTCAGCCTGTCATCGAGAACCTGTGGTTAGGAACAAGCTCCCGTCCTTCCCATGAGCAGACCAGTACCCCGAGCCTTGCATTTTGTAGTGTGCTTAGAATGACATACAGCTCTTCTTACCCCAAAACTTTCATGGGAGTCCCACCTCCATTAAAAGTTAATGAAGAAGGGAAGGAGGAGAGGGCTACAATTATTTTAATGATCCTTCCCAGTTGACTTCCTCATTATGAATGTATGCAAATACATATATAAGTACCAGTGCTTGAGTGATATCAACCTATTTAGGGAGAGCAAGAATAGTTTCACTATGTTACTTATTCAAAACTTGAAGGCTTAGGATTATTACTTGCCTCCAACTGATGGAAATACCACCAAACAGAGACTTATGGCATAAAAAAATGATGAAACTATGAAAATAGAAAGTTAAGTGAAAAATGATGCAATAAAATGGAACTTTAAGTTCCCTTGAATGTTAGCTTCTTGCAATAAAAATGTATCTGTATATTATTCAACATAAATCTTGCAACAAAAAAGGATATATAGAGCTCACTGAAGTCACCTAATAACGATGACATATTGTCTTGTTTAAAACAGAAGGTAGAATAAGACCGAGAAACACTTATATGCCTACTTTTTGTTAAACTTCTTCAGTCATAGCTACTACTGCAATATTTGATAGTGTAATTGAAAAATGCCTGTTTTTCAGAGGGGATGTACCCATTTTTTGCATGGGTTAACCAGTACTTTGTACAGCAGGGAGCAGTTTATATTTTATTTATTTTTCCATTTATAAAATGTTCCTCTTTTCAACTCCAAGACATATTTACTATAAAAATAATAAAGCAAACAAAACAACACCTTCTAAACAACCACTTCAAACTCCTTTCTAGCAATCCTCTCAGAAAAATCTTGAGTAAACAAAGGTCTTGCAGTGCGTATGAGCATTAAACTCAGCCTTTTTTGGTCCAAAGGATTGGGGAAGAAGTGAATTCCAGAGAGTCAGGAGACCTCTAACTTGAAGGACATGCCCACAATCCACAGATATGTTAGTATACTGACTGTCCACTTGAAAGACATCAATAAAGAACATTAGTCTAAGATAGACTAATGCTTAGACTTATTTTGGCTAAGGACTCAAACCCTAAAGATGTCCAGATTAAAATCAAAACCCACAAATTGCACCTGCAGCAAAAGCACTATCGCTGGAGACATTGTTGGTCTCCTTGTACCATTACAAGACTAGTGTAAGTGAGCAAAGAGAAAAGAATCCTTCTTATGTGGCAATTATTTGAGTGATCAAATCCAAATATGCTTTAGAGCATTGAGAAATGTTTGTACAGACTTCTGCTGACAGACTAGATGTTGATATAGACTTTTAGCATAATAATAAATAATCAAAATAATAATACCACCACCACCGAGATGGCATACACTAGTAAAAATACTTGAAATTTGACCCTGATCCTTCATCAGGATTTGCAAGTGCAGACCTCTGTACTCATGGAGTTCTAATGTGACTCTGCACAATGTCACAGAATGGCATTGGAATCTAATGTAGAATTGCAGACTTCGTCTGAACGCCAACTGAAACTGTAGTTTGAAGTGGAAACACTGTACATATGTTGCTATCATTTCTATATGCTACACTTTTAGTGCATTTCCCATTCAAATATATATGACCCATGCAATCTCCCATTCGAGGACTGTTTTTTCTTAACAATTACACTTAAAAAAAAAAAACTTCAAAAATTCAGTTGAGCATATCTCCCCCAAGACAAGAAAAATCCCTAGTGTGTGTAACAAAAATTATTTTTTCAATAATCTACATTGAGGAAAATTATTTCAATAAGAAATATACGTTAGGTTTAAACCCCAGAAATTTAGAATGAAAAATGTTTACGTGTGTGTCATTTAAATACATTTTGTGATCCAGAATACAATGATTCAAAATCATTTTTGCAAACCAGTAGGTAAATAATTAGTTCATTCTGCATTATGTAATGAATAGTCACATCCTCTACAAAACAAAGAAGATGAGGTCTTCTGACAGAACTGTATTAATTCAATATCAAGAGAAAATAAAAGTGGTTCATAAGATGACATAAAGGGAAAGATATCTTACTGTAAATGCAAGTCTCCTAAGGACTGTGTATCAGACTGATAGTCATTTGCCCATCTAACTGGCATAAGATTTAGATACTAAATTTATTTTAAAAGGAAATCTGAACTCTCTAAAACATAACTGTAATAAATAAATCACCCATACTCTAATTTTAACTACATTGGGCTTCAGTCCATTAACTCCTTGACTCTTTTTAGAAACATATTTGGTGACCTCATATTAATCTCATTTTGGTGCAGATCATAAACCATATCAGGGACTAAAAATATAATTTGATTCTTTCCCTTTTTTCACAGTATTCTTCTCCTTTCCAAAAGAGGCTGAGTTTATTATTTATTTTGGATTTTTGTAACTCAAGACACACAAAAATACAATATGTTCCAAATTAAGTTCAATGGCAAGTTACATAAAGATCTAGTACTAACGGCATCTTAAGAAATGCCCAGTTGACCTAATGTAAATATTAAGGTCCAAACATGAGAGGTATTGGCCCAACAGCATACCTGACCACCCTCCAGGTTCCCTAAACTAGGTTAAAGTATAAAAGATGCCTAACCACCAGTGAAATATCACAGAGAGGGGATATTAATTCTAAATTCCATTTTTTCACAATAATCAAAGGGTTTTCTGCCTGCAAAAATTTCATCAAATTGCCCTGAAAGCTATTCTTTTTATCCATGTGGTACCATTGGAAATGGGTCAAACTCATGCTTCCGCCTCATGGATTAGAATTTCATCATTTTAGCTGTGAAAATCCATAGCTCTTATTGACAATGGCATCAAATTCAAGACAAAAAGTGTGTCAATAAGTAACCGTAAATGAAGGCAAAATTGGTAGTTGTGCCCATCTTTGCTCAGGGGGTTTTACCAATGAGTTCTGAAACCATCTAACTAGCAACATTAGTCCCTCACATGACAAATGAATGACTGTTAGAAAAAGAAAAATGAGTTTAAAACAATCACAGGACAACCACTAGAATTTAATATTTTGGTTTCACTTATATGCAGCCAGAAGCAGTGACCTTAATATATACTGCTGTAAACCTCCTTATGCCCCTCATAGCCCCTTCCCAAAACATGTCTACCTTTCTTATTTTTTCAGCCAGGAACGTCTTAGAATCTCCAGTTTCCCTACAAGAGGAATTTGCTTTGACTGTTGGTTGTAGGGTTGTCTTCTTTCCTACCAATTTCAAGCCCTATATCATCTCTTTTGTTAGACATTCTTTGCTCCCTACTGGTATTGATGTTGTGTTGAGAGCTACTGAAAATGTATGCAATAAATCTCTAAACTGCAGGAAACTCAGAGAAGTTTTAAAATGGGAACCCTAACAGCTCAAAAACTAGGAGGCAAATAGAAAGACCACAAATTATTATTTTAAAAATCTCATTCTTTTCAATACAAACTCAATTTTGGAGGCCTGACTCAGGATTTTTGAATGCTTGGAGCTGGCGATATTGAAGGAAAACAGTATTGACCTTAAAGCTGTACGCATTCTCTCCTTTTCTCTGCCTCACAGCCCAGTTTTTAACTAAATTCTTTCGTGTCTTCTTGCCACAGATTTAAAGAAACAGTACACATCTTTACATTGAAAGTCTCCATGAACTCAAGATGCTGAACAAAAATTGTATGTCTGGTGCAATGGTTCCACTATCAAATTGTCTCCAAAGCTCCTTAAATCTCCAGTTTTTGAACACTTATTAAAAATAACTAAATAAAGTTAGGCACCTGCAACTGTTCATTTAAAATCTATTCTCCTTTGTCTCAAACTCTCTCTCTCTCTGCTATGAGTTTAGAAACTGCAGTTTCAAAACACAGTTGTTATGAAAGAAGCTAGGAAAAATACATTTGTATTATTCTAAAGTAAGTGCACTCATGGTACAAGTGTTTACTTACAGGTATCATCCAGTTGGCCAGATCACCATATTTAGACACCTGCATTGCTCCAAGCATTGTCAAATCGACATGACCTCTGGTAAAAGATAGTGTGCAATTAGCATACTGTGTTGAAATAATAGCTCACAAATCCAACCAAGTTATTTGTTCACTGTCTTAATATATCAATATAAAGCTCCTAAAAATGGTAGTAAACAACAGAGGAACTGAGCAGTTTGTCACTTACACGTGCACTTTTTCCCCCTACACATAGCACTGATCTGGATTTCCCTCTGCCTTCAGAGCCTCAAAAACATGATTATTTCTGTCTGGTTTTGGTTAATTGCATTCACAGTAAATCAGCTCTGAACTCACATTTTTAAACGCACTCCTTCACATATTTACGTGCATTGATTATCTTTTCAGAGCCATTATGGTTTAGTGTTTGTTTGTATCCAACCTCCTCTCCGAAAAAAACAAACAAAAAACAGGTGCAGATGGTGAATTTCCATCAGGGAGGCGGAATCAGGATTGCAGACATAAGCTGAGTAAAGAGAATATACAGCGTGCAAGTACAGATTAGATTCCTCGGAAAGTGACTAAAAAGTAGCTGTTTAAAACACAGCTACAAATGTGTTTATATACAGTCAAGTGGTGTTAGACGCAAACATCCTTATGGCATCTATCAGTCACAGTCAGTTGAATATTTCAGTTTCCACTAGCCTGACCTAATCCTTCTGTAAGTTGTCACTGAACTTCCACAATAGTTTTACAGGTTGTTAAATGATAATCACATTTCAGAGCATTACTAATGAGTTTAGTTAGTGACTCATCCTATTCTGTTCAGCATTTTAACAGATTAGGAGTTCTGTTACATACCCTCTAATCATTGCAAATGATTCATCACTAGAGAAATAGGAGGAACCTGGAAGAACGGTGACTGTCTCTTTACCTGTAAAAGAAATGGGCTGTTATATTTACAGAACTGGTGTTTAGGAAAATCCAATAGGAAGGGATCTTCATCATGTCCATCTTTACTGGTGTAAGCTTTTTGGAATTATGGGAGGGGAAGGTTACTCTGTAAGAATGGCTTGAGGGAGTTGGTCAGGGGCTGAATTAGGCCATGAATTAGGGAGAGCTTCTCCCACTGACATAACTACCACTGCTCGTTTAGGTGGTTTTATTATGCTGATGGGAGAGCTCTCTCCCATCGGCATAGAGTGGTTACACAAGCGATCTTACAGTGGAACAGCTGTATCCGTACAGCTGTGCCACTGTAAGTGTAGTGTAGACATGGCCTTAGACTGGCACCTGAGTCATACCAATACCAAATCAATCAGGTAGTGTGAGTGGCAGGAAGTATTTTATAGGTGATCAGATAATGACCCCATTCAAAGGTATAGGCAGTGGAATCTCATGTTAAGGTCATGAAAACCCCCACTGGACTTAGCTTTTCATTCATTCATTTCATTCATTGTGGGAAAAGTGTGGGGCAATTTTTAGCAGAAAGAAAGTGTCTGGAGAAGACAGAAAATGTTACAAAAAGAGGAGGCCAGACTGGGAATTCACTCTAGTGGAAATGTCCTTTCAATGTGTGACAGCGTTGGTTCACTCTTGTCTCCAAGGTGCATGTACAAGAAAATGAATGTTTGTGAGCAGCCTCCTTATGCTAAGCAGCCGCTCCCTGAGCTGTTCCTGGTCCTGTGAATGGAGCACACAAAACCTTATCCAGCAACCACCTGACAAATCACATGGAAGACCTGAAGGACCTAACCCTAGACCTAGCACTGGACCGCCTTCCTGCCTCCCAGCACCACTTCTGGTGAGGCACAAGCAGTACTGTTTTTCCTGTCTTACCTAGGAGGTATCTTTAATAGTTAGAGATTGGTTTAAAACCTGAAGCATGAGGTTTAATATCCCTTGTAAAATTTGTTATAATTAATGATAACTATGATACCCATATAAATATCCAATCCCATTTTTCATCTTGCAAATTCTTTGCAAGTTCTACCACATGTTTTTGAAAGAATACTTCAAATACCAGATGATGACTGCCAATTTAGGATACATTATTTTTAAAGAACAATTTTTACCCTGTTTAATTTTTTTAAAAAATTACATTAATCTCAAGTCTTAACTTGTGTGCATGCACACGCACACACACACACACACACACACACACACACGGAGATTTTCAAAGGTAGGCACTTAACTCCTATTTGTGCCTTGGAAAATCTCCCCCATATAAAATATTTCCACAGCCAGCTGTTGGTGAAACTTTGTTAGGTGCTGAAATGATACATGAGTAATATTGCAGAGATGGCATTGTTCAAAGTGGGAAAAACAACACTGTGATAAATAAATTTGTTAGTCTCTAAGATGCCACAAGTACTCCTGTTCTTTTTACTGTGATAACAGAATCAATTAGTTAAGGTAGGCGGCAAATATTTTTACAAGTCAGTAAGCAGTTGCTGGAGTGTACAGCTAAATTAAATTATAAATTTGGTTATATATCAGTGCTTTATCTCATTTGGCTATTCAGTTTAGCTGTACTAGCTAACATGATCTGCTAAAGAGGAGATCTATATTATTATGAAAAGCCCTTTCTAAAATACCAGATGTATATACCTGATCCTGCACTAGGATCCACTAGTGTGGGCCTGTGGACATGCAGAGTCCTGTTAACACTAATGGGAGTCTGTATGGGTGTAGGTCTCTGCACTAGCTAATCCCAGTGCAGAAGCAAGGCCTGTGTTTAAACTGAATGGAATTAACTGCAAGTACTTGCATAACTTTGTATTGTGAAACTAAACTAAAAAAAACCCCAAACAAACAAAAAACAAACAAACAAACCTTAACAAGCTAGTTTTCCCATTTCAAAGCTGTGTGACCACTTTTTCCTGCCAAAAGATGGGGAGAGGTTGTCTGAAGCTGAAATGGGTGAATTACAGGGGGAGGTATCCTAAATTCCCTCTAAACTGCGTGGCGGGGCGGCCACCCAGTAAGCTACCAAGTGCCAGACATGCGGCTGCCAGACATGCTGCTCCGAGCGGCATGGTAAGGCGGCTGGGGGGGATCCTGGGGGGCAGTCAGGGGACAGGGAGCAGGGAGCGGTTGGATGGGGTGGAGGTTCTGGGGGGCGGTCAGGGGACAGGGGAGGGTTGGATAAGCATGGGAGTCCCGGGGTGTGTGTGTCAGGGGACAGGGGTGTGGATAGGGGTCAGAGCAGTTAGGGGCTGGGGGTCCCGGGAGGGGGTGGTTAGGGGACAAGGAGCAGGGTTGGGAGGTTCTGAGGGGGGCAGTCAGGGGGCAGGAAGTGGGAGGGGTCGGATGGGGGTGGGGGCCAGGCTGTTTGGGGAGGCACAGCCTTCCCTACCCGGCCCTCATTACAGTTTTGCAACCCCAATGTGGCCCTCGGGCCAAAACGTTTGCACACCCCTGGACTAGAGGATAGCTAATGTGACACCAATTTTTAAAAAAATTTTAAAAAGAGCTCCAGAGGTGATCCCAGTGATTACAGGCCAGTAATCACTGACTTCAGTACCGGGCAAACTGGTTGAAACTATAGTAAAGAACAGAATTGTCAGACACATAGATGAACATAATTTGTTGGGGAAGAGTCAATATGGTTTTTGTAAAGGGAAATCATGCCTCACTAATCTACTAGAATTCTTTGAGGGGGCCCAAAGCATGTGAACAAGGGGGATCCAGTGGATATAGTGTAAACCTCTACCCAGATATAACGCTGTCCTCGGTAGCCAAAAAATCTTACCGCGTTATAGGTGAAACCGTGTTATAACGAACTTGCTTTGATCCGCCGGAGCGCGCAGCCCTGCCCCGCCCCGCCCCCCCGGAGCGCTGCTTTACCGCATTATATCCGAATTCGTGTTATATCAGGTCACGTTATATCGGGGTAGAGGTGTACTTAGATTTTCAGAAACCCTTTGACACGGTCCCTCACCATAGGCTCTTAAGCAAAGTAAGCTGTCATGGGATAAGAGGGAAGGTCCTCTCATGGATTTGTAACTGGTTAAAAGATAGGAAACAAAGGGTAAGAATAAATGGTCAGTTTTCAGAATGGAGAGAGGTAAATAGTGGTGCCCCCCAGGGGTCTGTACTGGGCCCAGTCCTATTCAACATATTCATAAATGATCTGGGAAAAGGGGGTAAACAGTGAGGTGGCAAAATTTGCAGATGATACAAAATTGCTCAAGATAGTTAAGTCCCAGGCAACTGTGAAGAGCTACAAAAGAATCTCTCAAAACTGGGTGACTGGGCAACAAAATGGCAGATGAAATTCAATGTTAATAAATGCAAAGTAATATACATTGGAAAACATAATCCCAAATATATATATATATAAAATGATGGGATCTAAATTGGCTGTTACCACTCAAGAAAGAGATCTTGGAGTCATTGTGAATTGGTCTCTGAAAACATCCACTCAATGTGCAACAGCAGTCAAAAAAGTGAACAAAATGTTGGGAATCATTAAGAAAGGGATAGATGCAAGACAGACAATATCATATTGCCTCTATATAAGTCCATGCTATGCCCACTTCTTGAATACTGAATGCAGATGTGGGCGCCCTATCTCAAAAAAGATATATTGGAATTGGAAAAAGTTCAGAAAAGAGCAACAAAAATGAATACTGCCATATGAGAAGACTGGGAATTTTCAGCTTGGAAAAGAGACGACTAAGGGGGGATATGATAGACATCTATAAAACCATGACTGGTATGGAGAAAATAAATAAGGAAGTGTTATTTACTCCTTCTCATAACACAAGAACTAGGGGTCACCAAATGAAATTAATAGGCACCAGGTTTAAAACAAACAAAAGGAAGTATTTTTTCACACAATGAACAGTGAACTTGTGGAACTCCTTGTCAGATGATGTTGTGAAGACCAAGACTATAACAGAATTCAAAAAAGAACTAGATAAGTTCATGGAGGATAAGTCCATCAATGGCTATTAGCCAGGATGGACAGGGATGGTGTCCCTAGCCTCTGTTTGCCAGAAGCTTGGAATGGGCGATGGGGGATGGATCACTTGGTGATTACCTATTCTGTTCATTACCTCTCGGGCACTTGGCATTGACCACTCTGAGAAGACAGGATAGTGGGCTAGATGGACCTTTGGTCTGACCCAGTATGGCCGTTCTTATCACACTCACCTCCCAACACATACTTGTATTGTTGTTGTTGTTACTTAATACTTCTTTCCAAGTGTGTTGTTTTAGTTTTTTGACTAGTCTATGCATTTCATAACTTTTATTTCTCTCTTGTGCTTAAATTTAATTCTTTGAGTAGTGAGTTCTAAAATGCCTAACTTGTTCTGGCTGGAGTAATTATCCCTATGGTAACTTTTTAAATATATATATTATATCTAGGTTTTTTGTTTCTACTGGTGGTGCACATCACCTCGATATGGTGCACATAGCAAAATTCATTCCACATATGGATGGAAAAAATTAGAGGGAACACTGGAAGTGTCTACTCTGAATATTCAAGTGAGATCTCTGAAAAGTTACTTAAGTTGTTCCTCCAAAGATATAATCCCTCAATAGCGAGAAGCGAAGATATTAAACACACAGTGACTGAAGTCCAGCAATTTTGCCAAACATGCCTGGGACATGAGTCAATGGGGCCAATTTCTAGCACTTCCAGACATCCCAGGAAAAACAGTGGGAAAAAATGCATGTGCGTATAGACATCACAGTGCAAGTCTATATGCTGAATTGGGGAATAGGTCTAAGAATCTTTTGCTTCAAAAAAGTAAAACACAAGCCTTCACTGCTTGAGTTAAAAAAGAGCCTCCTTTAACTGTCCCTACTAGAAAGCAGTGATGATACATATGCTGATTAGCTAGTATATTAATGGTCACTAATGATCGAAACTCATAGTCACTGAAAATATGTCAGTACTAAAAAAGGCAAAACAACATAAATATTTACAAGTAACATTGCACCAGTGTTCTGGATTTAGTATTGAATCAAATGAAGTATGTTAAATCAGTTATGAACAATTTCCAGAAGTTAAGTATGTTAATGATTTTACCTGCATTAATCAGGTCTGGATCTACCTCGTTTTCAAGTGGATAAGGACCCTGATAACAAAACAGTTTCAATATTTATTGACGATCCAGAATAACACAATATTTTCCTTTATTAATTCTAATGTTTGGGACTCAAAATAAATATATCATACATTTGGATTTTTCTGTGTGGTACACCATTTTTATTTAGTATGTGCACTGAAACGTACACTAGTCCATGAACAGAGACTGTATGGTAACGACATTGCTGAAAGCTATTATAATCATTAAATGTATGTAGTTTTCCTTGAAGCTACAGAATTTCTTAAAGTCACAGGCATCCAGGTTCAATTTAACAAAACATCATTATAGTAAAATATGCATACATATTATGTTAGTTTAAAATTATGTATGATGTCACAACTAAAAACCTCTTATAGAGCTTGATCCTGCAAGGTGCTGAGCATTCTGGCACCAATCCAGCAAAGCCCTTTACCAAAGTACATGCTTAGCTTTAAGCTTGTAATCAGTCCCATAACTCCAATGGGACTACTGACATATCTCTCAAGTAAGTATGTGCTTTAAATACCTACCTGGGCTTAAGCAAAAATGCTCAGCACCTTGCAACATGACAGCTCTTTGAGCTCAAAGTATAAACAGCTTGTGAAAAAAACAACAAATCAATTTAAGTGCATTACATAATGACTCTATACTTACCAAGCCCAGGACTCCATTTTCACTCTGCAGGTGAACTGAAATGTCTGGACTGATGAAGTTGCTGGCCAACAGTGGAATTCCTATGCCCAGATTAGCTGAAGTAAATTGGTCAAGGTACAACTAGAATATAATTACTGTAAATGAGTAAATTAACAAAATTATATTTGTGCTATGATCAGAACCCCCCTCCTTTTTTTTTTTTTTTAAAACACACAAACGGTTCAGCTTTTCATATATATGCCTCAAAGGTTATGCTGAATTATTGTGTCATTTGAACTGCTTAGTTGCTTTCTTTCAGATGCTAACCCATTAATAGAACTGTCCAAGCAAGCTTCATTTAATACAGATGGTGCTTACAATTTTCAAGAAATATCAATTAATCACTTGACTGCCAATGAACATTCCAGTCATACCCAGGTAGAACATCTCCTACTGTATGCCTTAACATTCCATCTATTTCAATAGGATGTTAATATAATGACAGAACCACAGGTGCTGTAGTGAACAGTGAAGATGGTAACAAACTTGTGCCAGGAGTAACAGCTGCGACTGCTATCTTATCACAGCAAATCCCATTTCTTTAACCTACAACATAGTTGGAGGATACCATACATGCCGTCTTCAAACTCTAAAGCTGCTCGTCTGATGATCCTCTCTCTCACATTATCTCCTTCCTTCTTTTGTTTGGCTTTTGAGTCTTCAGGCTTTCGGATGGATAATCGCTACAGAGTAAGACATTGTCAAAAACAAACTGTGGTGTTAAGATTCCTGTTCTGCAAGCCATAAAAGTCAGGCTCATGGGTTCAGGGAGACTTTATGCAAAAGTCTTTTAGGATATTATAGAGATGAAACCAATTGGGGTCTGCAGGAAGTACTGCAAAAAAACCCAAAACAAACAAACCAAAAAAACCAATAGAGTTTAACAACAAATGAAATCCTTTCTATACACATTTTTTCAGTAGCCTACAGAACTTATTAGACAATATTATCCCTGCAATGGAATTTGATACCTTGACTTTACTATTCTATAAAAGTTATCATGGTTTTAAATTCTATAAGCCTTTTCCACAAGGGATGGTTTGCTGTCAAGAACAGCACTATTCTTTTGAGAAAGTGTCTGTCAAAAATATATTTTCTGCAATTTTGTCCTTTATCTTTTTCCATATTTCAAGACAGTAGGTTTATGTGGGCAGAAGGGATTTTCCCTGATGGACCAGAGGCCTTTAGTGGGAACACAGTTGTTAAATAAAATCCATGTTTAAATTAAAACATTTATTTTGAATGTAATTTAATTTCATTTTAAAGAAGCTTTTTTTTTTAACCCATGGCTGCTTCCCCTACAATGGTGGAGCATTTATTGCTGTCTTTGAATCCCAAACTCATTACTTAACTTCCTGCAGGAAATGAAAGTGTTCACAGACTGGCTCCTGCCTTGTGTTGGAGGATTCTTCCATGGAAAAAGGAATGCATGGTACACCAAGGGCATTCCCGCTAGAGAGATCAGGTCGGAATCCAATTAGGCAGGAGCAAACATCTAAAGACAGTAAATGTATGACAAGCTAGCTTCTATTTATTCCTCTCCTTCCTCCCGCTCTGCACCCCACCACCACCACCACCAAAGGTATAGGAGTATGACTGTAACATGATTAGAACAATAACATACCTTCCTTTTCCCAGCACTCTAAATCTGGTTTATATGGGAATCCTTTCCAGACACTCCACTGGAGTAATATGCCTAATCCAATTTATGGTCAAAATGTAGTAAGTAAGGCTGGCAGAGCTGGCTCCTACAAGAACTACTGTCCACGCTGCCAGTCAAGGTGGCATGTTGGGACGAGGAGGGATCATGACATAGAAGGGGTAGGGTGGAGTGCCATGCCTCAAATTTTATTTTATAGGCTCTGTGTAAGACAGTAAATTAATAACTTTGCAATTTCATTGCTATATTTCCATTTGATGAGATGCATCACTGCTAGGATTATAAAACTCAATGGACCAAATTTATCCCTGCTGCAACTCTATTGTATATTATATAAAAACTTTTTAAAAGGTGATAAAAAATGGGGTAAGTGGTATGACATGAGGCCTTGTTGTTCTGGCTTAATCTCCTGGTCCTAGGAGGACCCCCACTGTAGTGGGCAAATCAGAGAAGAAATCCAAGCAGCATTTGTATGTAGATGCTACACTGGAAAGAAGGGGCAAGCCCCTGAAGCCAAACTGAAATGACAACAGCATTTTAATCGAAGCAAAATCAATACATTTTGAGAAAGATAAACACTTGTGAGCGGATGTAATAGACCATGTCTTAAAAGGAGGGAACGGGGTATTAACTGCTGTCTAATATAAAGTGCCCATAGACTAAGAGCTTTGACACATCTGGCTCCAGTCAGATACCTAGTGACATACCAAGTTTGAGCAGAATAAACTGGTGGCGAAGCAAGCTGTGATTTATCATCCTGCTTGCGGTGCACAAAGAGGTTTACCCCAGGGAGAGTTTACTCAAGTAAAAGGGCCTTATGGCTTTCCAGGCCTTTGTGATTTTATGGTGGTCACAGAAATTTGATTTATACCAGAACAGTCTCGGGAGGACAACTGTTTAATAACAAAAATGGGCAGAAGTCAGCATAACCTTTTTCCCCCTTCATATTTCCCACTCCCACCATAATAACCAACAAATATAGCCAAAAATGTTATTTCTGACTGCAAAGAAATATTACAGGTGTGTCAGAACATACTGCAAGATTGCTGGCCCATGACATTTTTAAGTGTACTTCCAGAGAGCTGTCACGCCACAAAGTTGAACCCAGAGACATTGCTCCTGGGAGGGGACACCACAGAACCAAAGCAGGGACAATTTCCTCCAGATTGGTTCTAAGTGTAGCAATGAAATAGCTGCTCTCTTTGTGGTCAGCTAAAACACTACCAACATGTTCATTAATATTAAAAGGTGTAATTTTGTAAATAGATACCGACAATTAAAGGTCTTCCAGTTCTGCAGAGGAATGCAATTAAGTAACAGTTTCTGTTAAAACCAGAAACACCTCCAGGACACTCTGCCACATAAATATGAATATAGGGCCACGTTTTCTCTCCTGGGCCCAGTCTGTACCACCTGCATAGGACTAAGGGGCTGGAACTGGCTCTAGCTGCCAAACCTCCCAGTGGGAGATAACTCTCACCTGCAGTAAAGCTGGCAGAGCTGGCTCCTACACCAACCACTGCCCATGCTGCCAGTCAAGGTGGCATGTTGGGATGAGGAGGGAGCATGATATATAAGGGGTAGGGTGGAGTGCCACGCCTCAAATTTTAAGCTGGTATAAGGTTCCTTAGGGACCATAACCAGCTGCCCTTAATTAGACACGCCCAGGGGCTCCTCTAACTTATGCAGTGATTGGAACCAGTTACTGAAGCTTGACAATTGGGGATCCATAACCATTCCCTCCCCCGCCCCCATCTCCTGCACTAGCTGGAACTTGACACAGTAGAGAATCCATCTCATCATATTTTATCATGGCTACAGTTTAATGGTCGAGCAAAAATCCTGTAATTTATAAAATTTATTCTGGGTCAACACACATAGTGGCTAAGAAGCTGAACTACTTACTTCAATTCTCTTTTCATATTTCTCTCCCTTTATGAGACGATGGACATAGATCTTTGGAATGTGAATATCTTCCGGGGCAAATGATCCTATATCAACAATTTCTTCCACCTGCAGAGAGGAAAAAGAAGAGTGAATATACTCTATTGAACCAGTATATTCTCTCAAGACATGAAAGACTTATGAGAGATTTAGCAATGAAACTTCCAGATACTCAAAGTAGAGTAGCTCAAGTCTACCCAAGAAGAGGCAGAGAGTGGGCCAAAATAGTGGAATGGCCTCAAAAGAAGTGAGTCTAAAATTGCATGCCTACCTCTTACACATGGAGGGAACGCCAACATTTTTGTGTAAAGGATATTTCCACGTGCATTTCTGAATAATTATGTTTCTAGCTGCCCAGTTTGCACATACAAATATTTCCTGCACACCCACATGAGAATTCTTTGCACATACAAAATAATAAGCACAAAATGGAGAAAAAGGAAATTTTGGTAGCAAAAGGGGTACAAAATGAAAATGTACAATTTTAGGCATATAAATCTGGAGATCAGGTTCAGACCACTTTGAAAGTACTTCAAGATGTGATGTTCTGTAGGAAGTCACTAGAATGCAAGGCTGCACAAAAGAAGTCTGAATATTTACTATGACATGCTGTAGTTAAGTTAAATTTCAAGTTTTAAGAAAGTAGTTGAATTGATCAAATGTACCTTTGGCACAAAATTTATATCTGTCTACCCCATGTACTTTAAACGTGGCCTCTCTGGAGCACGTTTTCATACTTTGAAAGGAATTCTTAAGTAATCTAATTGTCACTACAGTTATTCATAGAATTTCAGGGAGAGACTATCTCACATTCATTATATTCACGTTCTCAGTCAGTTACATTTCCATAGTGTTTTCAATGCATGTATACAGGCACAACATTATAATGTCAAGCAATGCAATGTTCATGATGCTAGATATTCTGTATTCAAAAGGAAATGAAATCATAACAGAGCTAGTCTCCCGAGAACACGTTACAATAGCAACATTAAACTCAATATAAAGGTATCTAAAATAAGCCTAAGGATTCCTAAACAATAAAGGCTTATGCAACAGGATACATCAAGGCCCGGCTTGACAAAGCCCTGGCTGGGATGATTTAGTTGGGAATTGGTCCTGCTTTGAGCAGGGGGTTGGACTAGCTGACCTCCTGAGGTCCCTTCCAACCCTGATATTCTATGATTCTAAGGGAATTACATCATTTACCCAACCTCTATGATGATAAATCTCAGAGCACTGTCATTGCAAATGAAGAAACATTAAAGTACTTTAAATCCAGGTTAGCATGCATAATTCTCAGATGAAAACAAATCCATGTGCTGTATCTGTTGTCTCTATAAAATCTCATCAATAATAAATTTCATATGGCATCTGTCATACAACCTTTACCCTAATATTCCTTATAGGGTGCCAATAAAAGGCTAAACAAGCTAATAATAAAAAGTAGCAAAGGGAAAGAGGAAATAAAAAGGTATAAACAAGGGAAAGAAGGTATGTTTTCAGATGATCTTTAATTCTTTTCAAAGACCTGTTGAGACAGGAAAACACAAGACTGTTTATATGGCAAGAGCTCTAGGGGAAAAAGGTTCTGGCACAAACAGTAGCAAAACTGTGTGAAGTGACCAGTGCAAGACATTTAGAGGGAGCAATGATAGGAGAAGAGAAAGAAAAGTTCCATAAGGTAGGGTGGGCCAAGTCAATTTACTGTTTTAAAAATAAAAAGATTTTATCAGGAACAAAATGGTGCAACAGAATCCATGCACTATCTTGCTAAATCATTGGTCACATTGTCATCTATATTATGAGATGGCAGAATACCTCTGCGATCAAAAATAGGATAAAGTGGAAAAATCCTGAAGAACACAGATGAAGATTCTCTGTCAGAACAGCAGCTACTGTAAGAATCCTGGAACAAAATCAAAAAGGAGGAAAAGCAGAAGAAAATTGCACAGACAGTTCAATGCAACTATACATGGAACAGAGATTCTAGATGGTAGCAGATGATGAGTCCCATTTTTCTAACTAGTATTTGTCTTTACTTATTAGGTGAAAAAGCAGGCCCAAGAAATATTAATCGCTATTGATTCAAACTCTATTATAAAAGGGCTGCTTTTATTCACTATTATTAAAGGTTAGAATTATTGAACCAAATTTTTTGTTGGCATAACTCTCTTGACTTCAATGGAGTTATGCCTACAGAGAATGTGACCCGTATTCTTCTTCCTCAGAAGACTTAAAGTGATTTCTCTAGAGATACCATCTATTGTTATCTATCTCCCCTCACAATCCCCCTTATTATTTGGCATTTATTTTTATCCCATATTTCTTTTGATGCAGCAGTCAACATAGCACAAGCATCATCAACATTATTTTATGTATGTATTGCCATAAATGTATGTCGCATGTAGACAATAAAATGCACATATTTGCCCTGAAGAACTTAAGATCAAAGACCCCATTTCTTCAAATGGATTCATACATAGATTCATGCCCATTCTTGTGTTTCTTTGTGAGTCTAGCCCTCACATGTCTACGTTAGCCATTTTCTTAAAACTTCCCATTAGTGCAAGCAACGACAGCACAAATGTAGACTAGCTGCCAGTTTTCAACTATCATGCCATCTAACCGCTCAGAGCAGGATAAGACAACACTACAGTTTATTTTAAGGCTTTACTTGATCAGATATTAGAAATCACAGGAAACTGAGAGGTTATCAATCTTAGCTATACAGTAAAATCTGAGGAGTAACTTCAATCCTGAAGATGGCAGATGGGCTTGGTCCATTTTAGGTGGCCTTCAATTTGTTGTTTAAAGACCCTAAAATTGGGACATTATCGTATCTCCTTTCTGTTAAATAGGTATCTTTGTGCCTGTTAGATATGACCACACAGACCCCTGCTTGGGTTCAGATTGAACAAGAATTGGAATAATCTGTCTCCCTTTCAGGCACTGTAGGATCAAATTATTATAGATTTGATGGCTCCAGAGTGCCCACAATAACAGCTGTGAGACAAGCTTGGTTAAACTTGGCTAGAAAGTTCTGATTCCATTGATTCTTCCAGGTAGAGGCAGTCCTATAGAGCAATCCCGTCCTTAAACTCGGTGGCAAAACCATGATGTGGAGGGCTTAGTGGACAGAGGAATGATGACTATGTCACAGCTAACTGACAATCACAAATTTAAGCCATCTGTAGATCTTCAGCAACAATTTATCTTGCCCTTCTCCGAAGCATGAACGTATCTCCAGTTAAAGCATTTACTTACTAATATATTTGGACTGAGTGTATTGGGAGCTCCAGAACCTCCAAAAAAAATTATTATTTTGGAGGAAGTTTCTGGCATTTACTCAACCAGTTGGTATCCTTTTATCATTTGCTAGGCCAAAAAACTCTGCCAAAGATTGATAACTTTAAAGTTCCTTGAAACAGAGATTTGGATACACAGCTATCTCTGACCCAATGGAATATAATTGTACCTTATGTTAAAAAAGCTACTATAGACCTGAGGCTATGGCTTATTCATCAAAAGGCTTCCCCCCCCCCTCCAAATATACTTGTCCCCACATAGGCTAACAGTAATGGGCCTCATAAATGCTGACCACTGTTGGAAATTAACTCCCTTGGTGCTACATTATCTCATATGATTTACAAGTGTTCCTGTATCAAGAATTCCTGGTATGACGTGGGTCAAGGGACCAATTTTGCATTAGATGCTAACTTGGAGTCCTCCCCCTTAAGTTTAATTTTTGGATATATTCCTGATACATGGAGATTACCTGGTAACAAAGAGGCGTAGTTCCCATGTGCAACTTTGGTCTTTAAAAAAAATAATCCTGCAAAAATAGAAAAGGTGATCCCCACCAAATATTGATTCCCGGCTCAGTGATATGGCTGACCTTGCCAATAATAAATGACTGGCATTTCACAGAAAGGGAGTGCCCGAAAAATTCAAAACAATTTGGGCTGCCTTTTTAGAGGCTTATGATTCACATAGACCCTGAAGATAGATATGTTGTGTCCATTTACTTTGTGTGTTATGATGAATCTGGTATTTCACTATATTTGTTGTATTTGAAAAAGTTAATAATAGGGCTGTCAAGCGATTAAAACAATTAATCACAATTAATCACACAATTAAAAAAATTGTGATTAATTGCACTGAAACAATAATAGAATACCATTTATTTAAATATTTTTGGATGTTTTCTAAATTTTTACATATGTTGATTTCAATTACCACACAGAATACAAAGTTTACAGTGGTCACTTTATATTTATATTTTATAAACAAAAATAATAGTATTTTTCAATTCACCTCATACAAGTACAGTAATGCAATCTCTATCATGAAAGTTGAACTTACAAATGTAGAATTATGTACAAAAAATAATAGCATACAAAAATAAAACAATGTAAAACTTTAGAGCCTATAAGTCCACTCAGTCCTACTTCTTGTTCAGCCAATTGCTCAGACAAACAAGTTTGTTTACATTTACAGGAGATAATGCTGACGGCTTCTTATTTACAACGTCACCTGAAAGTGAGAACAGGCATTCGCATGGCACTTTTATAGTCGGCATTGCAAGGTATTTACGTGCCAGATATGCTAAACATTTTTATGCCCCTTCATGCTTCGGCTATCATTCCAGAGGATATGCTTCCATGTTGATGACGCTTGTTAAAATAATAACGTGTTAATTAAATTTTGACTGAACTCCTTGGGGGAGAATAGTATGTCTCCTGCTGTTTTACCCACATTCTCCCATGTATTTCATATTATAGCAGTCTTGGATGATGACCCAGCACATCAACAAATCATATATTAAATTAATATATTTGAAAATGTAAAAAAAAAGGTCCAAAAATAGTTAATAAATTTCAATTGGTATTCTATGGTTTAACAGTGCGATTAAAACTGCGATTAATCATGATTAATATTTTTAATCACAATTATTTTGAGTTAATCGCATGAATTAACTGTGATTAATCGACAGCCCTAATAAAAAATATAAATATAGAATATATACATTTAAAAAACCCTGACAAATCTTTTGTTGTCCACCAAAGGAA